TTTGTGGCTGTTTAAGAAGCTTCAACACCAAAAACTACTGAGATGGATGTAGAAATAAAACGGTTAAAATAGCACAACATCCCAAACAAGCAACCCTTGGGTGACTTGGGTCATCATGGCATCACAGCACCAATGCCAAAGGATGCTAATCGCATTCAGGCTCCAAAATATCTGCACGATTATGATTCAGGCGAGTGCTGCTTGGGTTTCATCTACGACAGATGATAATTTTATCTCATCTAGCTTCAGACCAATAGATGAAAACCAATCCTGCATCTGGGAGCAATCCCAACATCTCCTTTGATTTTTTAAGATTGGGATTAAAGTTCTTTGACTTCTAAAATCACGTGGAAAGACCTTCAAGAATAAAGTTGTCCGCCTGCTGCTCTAACATGACCTGTTCAGCAAACATTCACGGTCTCATCACGGTTCAGGGCCGAGGCCAGGTTTCAGATCGTTTGTCCCAAAAACAGACTGTTCAAACTAAACCTGGATCCAAACAAGTTCATTAGTTGCACAAAGCCGTCTAGTGAGCATCTTACATGTATTTCACGAACATCCACTTTAAACCACAGCAGACTGTACAGGTTAATGACCGCCTTCATCGCCTCTTCACTAAGAAAACCATAGTCAGCAGCGGCCTGCTACTAAACCCAATATGTATGGAAATTAACAATGCTGAAAAAATATTACATTACTAGACTCTTATTAGGCAAACCTAATGGAATCACTTCGCTCTCAAATAAAGCAATCAGACATCGCCTAAATTAAACATCCAATATGGAGGCGGGAGGAACAAGCATTCTCGTTCCGCTCATCCGATTGATATGCATCACGACGAGGCCTCGCCTTTAACGAACACCGTGTTTTCAAAAGCCCTGCAACAACCGTGTGCAGGAGTGCTCACGCATCTGCGAGAGCGTGGATTATCAAAGACAGAGGTCCTTATTAACAAGTGTACAAATACAGGCAAACTGAGCTGAGATGAAGGGGAAGGGACGGAGGGAGGGTGCTAATTGTCCAACCACTAATTACCTACGCAGCTCCAGCCTTTCAGTCACCTCCTCGCCTTTGGTGTGAAAGAAGAAAATGAAGAAGATCACTGAGAATTCATGTTTTCACGTGCTCTCATTTCTCCTG